GGAAAGATAGGGGCAAAAAATTGGAAAGGAAATTTCAGGGAGAGAAAACAATGTGAAAAAATAAATATAAAAACAGCTACACAGTTTTATGGAGCAGCTACTCAAGTCCCTCACAGAACAGGTGCTTCCAGGTATTACCTCTGGGAGTCGCATCCTGCTTGTTCTCCGGGTGAGGGAATTTGGGCTCAGAGAGGTTCAGGGGCTTACCTGAGGTCACACAGCGCTTTGTTCTGCTCTACTGCTTGGTACATGGCAGGGCAAGGACTAGGATGAGGTGAGCGAGATGCCTAAGGCACGATGGACCCTGAGAGTTAGTTGTTCAATGAGTTCCCCTGGGGGTCTTGCTTGTCTCACCCCATCTGAGGCTCTGGACCCTGGGACCCTGGGAAAAGGCATTGGAATGTGGCTGCAAGAGGGGAATTTGGGCATGTGAGGCTGGGGCAGCAGACTGGTTGCAGCCCAATTAGGAAGGAGCTTGTCAGCTACTTAGAGGGGCTAGAACCTTGATCCTTGGGCACTGGGAGCCATGGAGGACTTTAAGCAGAAGAGGGACGCATCAGCGTTGTGAGTGAGGCTGGAGAGGAAGGCTGGCCCCACCTGAGGCTTCATTTCTATTTCCTCAGATCACAGGTGCTTCAGAGCCTCCCTGGGACCCTTCACTTCACGCTGGCAAGCATGACGGGGAAGGGGCTCCCCACCCGCCCCTGTAAGTGACAGCGACAACACCGTGAGACACCCAGAAAGGAAGATGTGCTTGTCAGGGAACCAGTTAGGGCTGCAAGAGCCTTAATTATGCAAAATCATTAGAAAGAGATAGGACCATTAAAAAAAAAAGACACAAATGAACTTATTTACAAAACAGAAACAGACTCATAGACTTAGAAAACAAACTTACAGCTACCAGAGGGGAAAGGAGGTAGGAAGGGATAAATTGGGAGTTTGAGATTTGCAGATACTAACTAATATATATAAAGTAGATAAACAACAAGTTTATACTGTAGAACACAGGAAACTATATTCAATATCTTATAGTAGCCTATAGTGAAAAAGAATATGAAAAGGAATACATGTGTGTACATGTCTGACTGAAACGTGACGCTGTGCACCAGAAGTTGACACAGCATTGTTAACTGACTATACTTCAATTTGAATTTTTTTTTAATTTTGAAAAAGAGATAGGACCATATGAAATAGATAAACAACAAGGTCCTAATATATAGCACAGGGAACTATATCCAATAGCTTGTACTAACTTACAATGACATATAACTGAATCACTATCCAGTACACCAGAAATTAACACAACATTGTAAACTGACTGTACTTCAATTTTTAAAAACTGAGATAGGACGGAGATTTCTGCTGATTCAGAGCCCTCCAACTTTAAGATAATTAGGGCAGGGAGAGAGGCGGGATGGAGCCCAGCGCAGGTGACAGGGGCTCTGAGTCGCGACTCTTTAAACTCTTGGCAGCAATAATTACTGTGAAATGTCCTTAGTGATTCCATCAGTTTGAAGGGCGACCCCCCCCCCACCCTTATCTCTTACTAATACCCTGGGGACGAGGTGTGTGTGCAGTGGGGGGGAGGGGGGAAGGGATTGATACGAAATAGAAGATTCTGCAGTCTTTTGATTAAAAAAAATAGTTGTATCAGCAATTTCATAGAAATGTTTGAAAACTAAGATCTTCTAGGTGTAAATGTTTCAGGCTTGTTCATGTCCCTTCCCACTGATCCTTTTCGGTTCTGGTGCTTTTGGGCTTAAAAAGAAAAACATCAGAAATGCCTGAGGATCATCAGTCAGCGCTGAGGCTGAGGGGGCTGTTCGCTGCTTCTGTTCTCCACTAGTGGTTAGCTCACCCTCTCAGCCTGTAAGCCTGTGGCCTCCTGCTCCTTACAGCTGGCAGAAGACACAGCCCAGGGCTCTGTGGCATCCGGCAAGGATGCCCCTTTGTGCTTGTGGTCCCATGCACCTACCTGCCGCCACAAGAAGGCCAGGAGCTCTGCAGGGTGCAGGGTGCAGTGTGCAGGGGCGGACTGAGCTGGACCAGCCCTAGTGGTTTCGGTGGCGGCTGGAGGAAACCACCACGGAGACGCGAGGGGTACGAAGTCAGAGTGCAAGAGACAGACCCCCCACTTACACTTGTATATCTTACCTTCTGTCTGACACCTCGTGACAGAGGTGCTAGTTCAATCAAGAGAGGGTTCCCACCTCGGGCAGTGCTGGGGCCACCAGGTCCCTGCTGAGAGCTTGGGGTCACTCTGCTGTCAAACTCTCTGCCCCATTTCTTCCAAATACTTGATTTAGACCCTTGTTCATTTAAAGATGACACAGCATCTCATCACTTTAGTTTAAGTAAGAAATCAAGTATTGAATTTTTTTCTTTACTCCGGGCATCTGAGAGGAGAGGGGAATGTCACTGATTTAATTTTTTTGGCTTAATTAGGACTATTTAGACCAGCAGAAACAAAGATGTCAGTGTAATTACTATTACCAGGGTGCAAAGCACGATTATGTGAGGTGACCAATCAGAAATTAGAGGTTTTCAAGGCTAAAACCACCAGGAGGTCTCCTCGCCACCGCTGGGAGGGGAATCCCGGGGAGACCCACAGCTCGCCATACCCCCTGCCCCCGCCTCTTCAAGCCCTTCAAGGCTCCCCATTGCCTATGAGATGACACTCTTCCCTTGGCTTACGGCCTCTTGCTCGTGCCTTTCTCTGGCTATAGCTCGCCCCGTCTCAGGACCTTTGCACGTGCTATGGTTTCTGCCTGGAGTCCTCCTCCCTGGTGTCTCACTTCGTTCACTTCCCTGCTCACATGTTCTCTCCCACAGAGACCCCATCCATCCGAATCATCAGCCCCTTCTCTCTCTCTCCTCCCTTGCTTTATCGTTCCTTCCATTGCTCACCACTGCCTGACGGCATCACAGGCCACTGAGTTTTATTGTGTGTCTCTGGGAGGAGACTGTGGACTCCAGGAGGGCAGAGCGTTGTGTGGCTCACTGTAGCATCCCAGGACCTCAAACAGTGTCCGGCTTATGGTGGGCGCTCAGTACAGACTGGTTAACTGAGAGAATGAACGACTGCATGCAGGCACTGGCACGCGGGAGCATCCGATGGCATAAAATGTTTCCAGACACCCTGCAGAGGTGGGCTGAACAGGAGTTGTATTTCTGGGAAAGACAGTAGCAAGTGTCTTCCTTGGACAAAAGGGAGAACGGGTTCCCAGATGAGGGCGGTCAGGGCCTGGGACAGACCTGGGAAGTGGGATGTGGGACTTTGTGACCAGGAGGGGCCAGCAGGAAGGACACTCCTGTGAGCCTCTGGGGCCGTGTGATCAGCTCTGCTTTCCTGTGTTGTTGTTCATTGAAGTGCAGTCAGTTACAATGTGTCAGTCTCTGGTGCACAGCACAACGTCTCAGTCATGCATATGCAGACATATATTCGTTTTCATGTTCTTTTTCATTAAAGGTTATTGTAAGATATTGAATATATTTCCCTGTGCTCTACAGAAGAAATTTGGTGTGTTTTTTTTGGTCTATTTTTATATATACTGGTTATCATTTGCAAATCTCAAACTCCCAAATTCACCCCTTCCCACCCCCTTTCGGGGGTAGCCACAAGATTGTTTACCATGTCTGTGAGCCTGTTTCTTTTGTAGTTGAGTTCATTAGTGTCCTCTTTTTTCTTTTTTCTTTTTTTTCAGATTCCACATATGAGTGATAGCATGTGGTATTTTTCTTTCTCTTTCTGGCTGACTTCACTTAGAATGACAATCTCTAGGTCCATCCATGCTGCTGCAAATGGCATTATTTTATTCTTTTTCATCACTGAATAGTATTTCATTGGCTGGAAACAGGCCAGCAGGAGGGCAGCCACGTGGCCGATTCCCATGGGGAAGCTGGACGGGGTGCCAAATGTTTAAATCCCTCGAGACTGGCTATAAATGGCTGCCAACCCACCACCCCATCCTTTTCCCTGAGCCTCAGGCCTGTCCGCAGCCCAAGTCCTAACGCTTGGTCAGCAGGGACCTTTGTTTCCACCTGGCTCCAGCACCAGGACCACTGCAGGATCTGATTTGCCAGTAAGGGTGTTGGTGAGCAGACTGTGGGGCAGACAGCAACAGACATGAGCTTGGAAGTCCTGCTGCATTGCATGGCCACCTCCGTGTGTCAGGAAGGCCTTGTTTGGGGAGGGGGCAGGTGGAAGGGGACGCTGCCAGGGGAGCCGCTCACTGCCCACTACGTCCCAGACTGGGATCTCCAGCAGGGGCCGCGAGCTGTTGTCTTCAGAGGCCGGAAAAGCAACTCCCTGTGTGGAGCAACTGGTCTCAGATAACAGCAGGTGGGTGGCAGGCAGCAGGTGGGTGGCGGAGAGACTGGACTTTGCTACAAGCCCGTGGCAGCTGGAAAGAATGTACCTACAGGCAGGGCTCTACCGTGAGTGCCCAGGACACTGTGAACAGAGGCCCCGGGGCCAGTTAGAGCCACAAACAGTGCCCAGCCTAGTCCAGGACGGAGTCCAGCACATTCGAGGATGCCCGGACAGCTCACAGTCCTGGTGTCCAGAATCGCCAGCAGGCGGCAGTAGAGCGCAGCACTTTGAGAGCAGCTGTGGGTTCAGATCCCAGCTCCGCCACTTTCAGCTCTGAGACCTCAGGCATGGCTTTTAGCCATCCATGCCTCGATTTTCTTGGCTATAAAATGGGCATAATAGTGGTACAAACCTGACATTTTTACTGGGAGATTAGATGAGGTCATGCACAGGAAGGGGCTCAGCATAGAATCTGGCTTAGAGTAAAGGCTCAGAAATGTTCCAAGGAACATGATTCCTCTCTCTTTGGAGGAGTCATTTGGGCTGGTGTCTGACCTGTATTTAGTTATAGGTTTGTTGAATGAATGAATGACCCACCATGTGAGTCCAAGGTGGAAGCAGACTCACCTATGGTTCGGACCCCGTGGGTGGGTTTGGCCCAGTGACATGGTTGTTTCTGTCTCCGCAGTGTTTGAAGAGCCGGAGGACCCCAGTAACCGCTCCTTCTTCTCAGAAATCATTTCCTCTGTGTCAGACGTGAAGTTCAGCCACAGCGGCCGGTACATGCTCACCCGGGATTACCTCACGGTCAAGGTCTGGGACCTGAACATGGAGGCACGCCCAATTGAGACCTATCAGGTGGGTGCTGTGGTCTGGAAAACCTCAGGGCCCCTCTGCCAGTGGGAGACCCCCAGCCGCCCTTTCTTGCGTTGAGAACTCACATGGAGGGTGGCGTTCACAGGCCCGTTTTGCACGTGAAGTCACTGAGGTTTGGGCAATCAAGCAGCGCAGCCCCGGCCGGGTAGCTCAGCTGAGGGCAGGGGTGCCTGCTTGGCTCTGCTTCCCAGGAACCTGTGTCATTTGTTGGCTCCTGCCAAAGGCAGGGCTGAATTGCCCTGCAATCCAGGGCCCCGGGGACAAAGATGAACATCGTGCTGGGCTCAGCTGTAGGGTGCAGATGATGGTGTCCCTCTGGGAGCCAGTGTCTGCAGTCCCACCATTAAGGCGGGCGAAGCGCTGCCCTCTCCCAGGGGGCACCTTAGACAGTGCGTGCGGGGGCGAGACGGGGGCCTGTTACGTTCACACTCCTCGGCCCGGGCTTTTAAAGCCAGGCATATAGGCTGCCACATGGGACACCTTCCCAGTCATTTTGTTGTTGTTACGATACATCCAGCTATATTAGAGACTTAGAAAACAAAGTGCATGTGAAGTTAAAATAAGGCACGGACTTGAAAGAAAGGTGCGACCATCTTTAAAGTGCTTTAAAACTGTCCAGTTATGTCTCTAGCTGGGGAAATCTGGGAGGGTTCTTGGAGGAGGCAATATTTGCGCTGGACCTTGTAGGATGAGTAGGATTTGGTCATGGAGATGTGACTGGGGAAACGCCCCACCGGAAGCCCCAGCCAAAGCCTCAGTGTCACCAGCTGCTTGGGCACACACGGGGAGCCAGTCACACACTTCTGTCACCTCTATTCCTTATTGCCCCTGTGCGGGGCGTGCCGTGGGTCCCACTTGGCAGAAAGGGGACCGAGGGCACTGAGAGGTTAGGGTGTGCAGGAGCGGCCTCAGAGCTGAGCGGTGACAGACCCAGAGCCCAGTGGAAGCCCTGCAGCCCCCTCACCCCGCCTTCCTTCTCTGCCCAAGCCTGGGGCAGGGGGTGTCCAGGGAGGCAGAAGGGGCCCCACTGAGAAGCGGCGCAGAGCTGAGCGGGAAGGACCGGGTGCTCAGAGTCTGACCTGGGACACATGTGCTCCTGGCAGCCAGTGCCCACAAGGACGTCCCCGCGGTTCTAGTGTGTTCTCCCGCCCCCCAGCTCCTACTTCTTCCTCAGGACGGATTCGTGAGCAGGCCTTTTTGGGAGCCACAAGTGTTTCCTCCACTTCTAACCCAAGCAGGCCCCTTGCTCCCACTGACACCCCAGGGAGGGATCGGCCTCTCTTCTGACCCTCAGGAAGGGCAGAGGCCAGAGACGGGGGCAGGAGTGACGTCACCCTTGCTCAAGCCTGTGGGACTGACCATTCCCAGCATCCTCCCAGGGCTTGCCCCAGGGCATTACTGTTTCCAGCCCCTTTTGCCGTTCAGCCTTTCATGTTCCGATAGTCAGCAAAGGACCATGGATCCTGAAACGAGGGGCAGTGTTTAATACGGGTATTTTGCGGGGAGAGAGTCCAGAGTCTTCAGAGTCCCAAAGCACAAGAGGACCCAGTAAAGGGGGAGAGTCACTGCTCTGCAGGACGAAGCCCAAAGCTGGGTGCTTGGCTTCCGGCCCAGCTCACCTGTCGATTATAAAATAATATGTTACATAAAGCAAACATAATAGCTAACGTATTTTAGCTATTATGTGCTAGAAATTGTGCATAGCAGGATTGTGTTTAGCTGACTTGCAGTACTGAACAGATAGGGGATTTTCTTCCTTCACAAGAAGCTTGGAGGAGAGTATCCAGGAACAGTGAGTGGCTCCGTGATCTGCTCAGTATCTCAACAACTACTTCTGTCATCTAGTTCACAGCTATTTTTGTGTTGGTTTTCTACCTTCATGTGTGTTACCTCATGATGGCAAAATGGCCGCCACACCTCCAGGAAGTATGCCTACATTCCAGGCAGAAAATTAGAGAAAATGTGGGCCAGTTAGATCTATTACATGTTTTATTGGGAGCACAAAAGCTTTCCCAGAACACTCCTCAGAAGACTTCTTACAACCATTGGCTAGAATGAGTCCATGATCAGACTGAGAAAATGAATAGTTTATAGCCTCTGTGGTTGATGGAGGCAGGAGAGAAAGGGGTAGGCAGGGGGTGTTGAGTGATCCAGCCCTCAGTATGTGCAGTATTGATTTAAGTCCTTGGCACACTTTTCATCTTCTCAGCCTCCCAGCTGCCTGGGTGGTGGGACCTGTGTTCTCCCTCTCCCATTTTATTTGGTGAAAATTGAGTTAAATGGTGTATCTGATTTAAATGGTGGTAGAGTAGCAGGCGGCCGACTAGATTGGTCTTTATTACTGCAGAGCTCACCCTCTTCCCTACCCAGCCACCAGCGGGCAGGAGGCACTCTGTATATAGGAGAGAGAAGCACATGTGTTAGGACCAGTGCATCAGTGAGGCTGTCATGATGATGCAAGGAGCATGCACACAAATGCAGACCTGGAGGGCTGAACACAAGCATCCTACAGTCTGTTCAGGGAATGAAGTCAGGCACCTGGGATGACCAAGTCATCCCCTTTCATCTTGGTCATTGCACACCCTGGGCAGGCGCTCTGTACCGGGCTAGACCCTGGGCTCAGAGGGAAGGAGGAGCTGCGGCCTCACCCTCAAAGGTCCCAGACAACAGGAGCACAGTGGACCAGAGCCTGGTGTGGCTGCGGGCCAGGAGACTCACCAGGGAGACCGTGGGGCTGGGCTCCTGGGGGTGGGGGCACCTGTCTGAAAGGGGGAGGCTGCCCGGAGCTGAGTTTTTCAAGATGAGTAAGAGGTTCTGAGAGAGAAAAGGATGCAAGCCTCCTTTTCCTTCCCCTGCCCTCCCTATACTTGATCTCTGGTTTGTGGGCCAGTGCCGCTGCCCAGCAGGGGTGCACATTTCTTTCTCTCCCTCCCTCCGAGTTAATCAGAGCTGCAGATACCTACAGGATGCTCTGCCCAGAGTTCGTCTCCTTGAACACTCGCACTCTTCTCCAGGGGAGGAGGCTCATGACCCTCTTTCCTAATGGGAAACCTGAGGCTCATAGTGGCTATGTGACTCTCCTGGGTCACACAGTAAGGGCAGAGCCAGGAGTTCAGGCTTCGTGTTACCCATTCGCGGGCCCCTTCCCCCACACAGAGGGCGGGGCCGCGTCCCTGCAGAGAGCCAGCACCTGGGAGCCCTCCAGGCACAGAGCCCGTGGGATCGGGCTGCAGGCTGTGGCCGCCAGTCATAGGGCACTACTGTCTCCCCTGCGGCGTCAGGTCACCCTGGGAGAGGGTCCCGGTCTTTCACTTGCAAGCTGTGTGAGTTTGGGTCAGTTACTTAACTTCTCTGAGCTTCAGTGTCTCATAAAACAGGACAGGTGGCATCTGCCGAGATCATTAAGATGACTGAATTTTCCTTCCTCTTTTCTCCATGATGGTCACCATCATGCTTCTGGTGACGATGGTCCCCAGAAGGCATGACCCTGAACCAAGCGGTCTCCTACCGGTGGTCCCAGAACAGCCCATGAGGTCTGCCCTCTTTTCACCCTAAGAAGGTGAAGCCAAGAAGCCAAGGCTCAGAGAGGTGAAGTCACTTGTCCAGGATCACACAGCCATGGAGGGGCGGAGCCAGGATTTGGTTCTCTCTGATGTTGTTCCCTTTGTCACTGTGACTGTCCCCTCTCTGGCCACAGCTCAGGGGTTGGCCACGTGCGGGGCTGAGTCGGGAGTGCGATCCAGACCCGGGAGGGCACAGCCCTGCTCGGTGAGCCCCTCCTCGTGGAGGGAGGCCAGGACTGTCGGGGTGCACCCCTCCTTGATTCACCCCGTCTGCTTCTCTCACCAGGTCCACGATTACCTTCGGAGCAAGCTCTGCTCCCTGTATGAGAATGACTGTATTTTTGACAAGTTTGAATGCGCCTGGAACGGGAGCGACAGGTAACCCCAGACCACCAACCCCATCCTGCCTAACTAGGGCCTTTCTGCCCAGTGGAGCCAGCTTGTCACCTGGGCGGAATGCATCGTGAGGTTCACTGTTCTCAAGCCTGATGAATCAAGGTGCTCCCAGGAGGCCCAGCCTTTCTTATAGAAGGTTCGAGCTCTCAGCTCTCAAGTTCAAGTGCAGAAATGAAACTTCACCTTCTGAGACCACACCTAGTGTCCACGCGGAGCCCCTTCTCCTGAGTGGCAGTGGAGACATCTTCAGCCAATTCCAGGCCCCTCATCACAGCCCCTTCCCCAGGTTGTCAGGGGTGAGAGGTGCTCCTGGTGCCCAAGCCCCAGGGGCAAAGGGCTTTAGCCACTGGTCTATGCCCCCTCCAGCCACTATGGCTGTAGCTTCAGGCCCAGCGGGGCTCTAGGGACCACTCACAGCTCCTGCACATTCTGGGGCCGGGGGACTTCTGCAGTGGCAGCCGCCCTCACAGCCCCATCCCCCTGGGAAATGGCCCTGAGGCTGATGTGAGTTCCTGTTTCCCCATCACCTGGCTCAGCCCAGGGCAGGTGTGGACAGGGAGCCCCAGGGCAGGTGTGGACAGGGAAGACACAGGGCAGGGACCCCGGTGATCAGACAGGGATGAAAACCATACCGGCTAATGTATCAGGTTGTCACCCACCACACTTCACAGTCGGAGCTGGTTTGGTGGGTGAGAAGGGGTGGAGTGAAAGCCGGCAGCCTTCGACTCAGCTGCCGCCAGGGGTGTGTCCATCCCATGGACCCCGTCAGTCACGCGTGTCTGGCCAGAGGCAGGCCGGGCTCTCCCCAAGTTCTGAGCGTGGCTGGTGCTGCCCTGGTCCTATGAGAGCTTCTGTGCCGTGTGGCTCTGGGCACAGGCACACTGGGACCGGCAGAGAAGGCGGGTGGGGGAGGGGGGCCAGGGAACCACAGAGACAGGACCTGGAGGGAGGGGACCCTTTCAGGGGCCCCAAGTGGAGCCAAACCACCGTGTCCCAGGCAGGGGGACTTTCTGGAGCTGCTGCCGACACCCTGGGCTCACCTGGGCCTTGGGGTCTCCGGGCACGGCAGTGATCACATCAGAGGGACCAGCATGGTGGGCACGGGGGTGCGGGGGAGGGTCCACTGAAGGTCACTTAGAAACTCAGATGGAGGGCCTGGCCTGGGACTGGGCTGACACAGCTGGGTCAGAGGGGACACAGGGCACTCCCTGCAGGGCCTGCGCCCAGGCTGACACACTGGGGGTTCCCCGGCGAACACGGGTAGCAGGTCTTGGGATGGAAGTTCTATCAGAATCTCAGAAAAGGGACTTATTTCCGGCCAGAGGGGATTCCAGCATTACTCTGTGTGTGTGTGTGTGTGTGCGTGTGTGTGTGTGTGTCTGTGTGTCTGTGTTGGGCTCCCTACTGGTGGTGAATGCCGTCGGCCTTGCCTCCACGTCACCACCAGGGGGCGCCCATGCATAGGGGATGCAGAGCTCCCAGAGACCTGAACTCCAAGTTCTTCCTGGAGGACAGGTGCCCAGCGTGGAGCTCAGCTGTCCGGCCTCTCACCCACCACTTACCGCCATGCGTTTCACATGCCAGCTGCCCCAGCCCTGGTGGTCCCTGCCACCCCCTCCACAACCCACTCTGCTCCCACCCCCTGGAACCCAGCCCACACTGCACCTGGCTCACTCCTGCTGTCA